GTTAAGGAATTGATTGCTTCTTCAGTACTTTGCATATGGAGGGCAAAGCTGCTATTTGCCCAGCGGCAGGCCGGGTTTCTAATAAACAGGGCCTATACTTTTTCCTCTTATTTTGAATGGGTTGGAAGGCAAATGGAAGATGTAATCACATCATGGAAGTGGGCAGAGCCTTTTTTATGTTGTTTCCCCCCCATTTTTATGGAAGTGGGGAGGGGGGAGTCATATAAGTTTCCCTAAACCAAAAATAAACTTTATTTCTTTGTTTTTCCACTGATCTGGGGTAGGAATTCCATGCAATTTTTAAAGTAATAAGACAGGTTTTGGTGTCACCTGTGGCCTACTAGCCATGGGTTGCCTACTCTTGATCTTGTGCAACTTCAGGCCAACATCTGAGTGTGGAAATTACATGCTCTAACCAGAGGCTGCAGTAGATGAGTTCCAGAATCCTAAGGCAAATGCATTAATTAAGCAATTGGTTGGTTTAATCTGCATTAAAGTATTTGATTCGGGAGAATGTCAAGTGTGTTATGCAGAAAAGGTTGTATATTTCAGGTGGATTTAAATGGATTTCTGCATGTGTACCAAACTTTTTGGCCAGAAAACAAAACAAAACACTTCTAAAAGCATGGGCCAAAACTCTAGTGTGGCATCCATGGTGTATAAGAGATTGCAATCAACAATGAGCATGAGGATCCATGCGTGTGTACATGCATACATATGTACCCATGTGAAGGACTGTTGAACGGCATAAACATGGCTTTGATTAATTATCCTGGCTGTTACTTGGATTAATTCCTCATTAAATGTTGAGGTATGCCTAAATTATGAAGCATCTTCTTTTCCCTCCCTTTTTATTATATTATTATAAACCTTGATACATTGTATTATTTTATTTATTTATTTATTTATTTATTTATTTATATTTCAAATTTGTCATTGCCCATCTCACTTATTTCAATACAGTGATGTTTATATAATATAATTAAAGATTATTAACATTATTTAGATAGCTCAGGGTACTGAAAATGGAGAAGAAAAAATACTGTATCAATATTAACTACAATTTAAGATATCAGTATTACAAGCATAACATTATTTAGCTTTTTCATCCAAAGTTGAATATAACGTTGAGAAAAGAACTGCTGCAACTGTCATCAAAGTATTTGTTATATGATAAAGATTTTTATCTTAAGTTAATTATTTAACATTAAAGAAGCTTCTTCTTACCGAATTGGGTACGATCGCTAGGAGAAGCACATCCTTGATGGCGAGGGGAGAAAATACTCAGATCACCCTCAGTGAATGGTGGGCCCACACTATGACAGGATTTCACATCTCCTCAGTAATATTGTGGCCTCTCATCTCTTTTCCTTGAAAAAGTTCAAGCTCTTTTTTGTTACCCAGATCTAGAATGTGTAATGTGTGAAATAAAAAAAACACACAGCTACCTTCACATCAGTCTCAACTCTTGGTGACTTCATGAATATAACCATGCAATATCTTTCCTGCACTAGTTTGGATATGTTCAACATATACTGGGCTACGACTTAATGACTGAACAACAACAACAACAAACTAATATAAATAAATGAAATAACTTGAATTGTAGCCCATCCACTCCTGCCTGGCTGTGTACATGGCTTGGGTTCTTCCCCAGTTTAACTCCCCTGTATTCACCAAGAACATACACAGTTCTGAATTTAGCAATGCACAGTTGCAAATTATGCATTGCTATGACTCATACACCTTCCCATATACGGAAGCCACAGGTCCATATTTGGAGGTTACATCATTAAGTCATTTGAGGTGTGGCCATACAGGCAATGTAATAATTTCTATAGTTGGAAATTCTTTAATCTCTTGGGAACCAGTATGCAGAGCAGCAAATGAACCAGCTATTGTTCATTTCCTGGGAGCACCCTGTCTGTCCTTTGCCAATCTTTAGAATGGCATCATTGGGACTTGTTCTAAAAATGGTTCCTTCTGGTTTTAACCGATGTTCACATAAGAGGGGGCTTTAGTTTTATATATTGTAGATACACAGTATGGAGCCAGTTGTAAAACATACACATTTACGTTTTCACTTTTAAAAAAATTGCAGCTATTGTAATAGGGATTGAGTTGTAATGGTCATTTTGTATATTTCCCCCAAATTTCTCCCTGCAATACAAAGCATCTGTTTTTAAGGTTCAGTAGTATGCATTATTTTAAAAATTCTGCTCAGTAAATAGTCAAAAGACCTGCTTGCTAGCCATATTCTTCATTGGTCTCCTCTTTTTCTAGTTCTAGATTATGGTTTTTCTTGTTTTGGGGGGGGCAGTACTTTGATCCAACCACACAAAAGGGGCATTAGGAGTGTGGGTTTCTGCTTGTGTCGGGCATGGATTCCTTTTTTCAACCCCTTTTCTCTTGTCCTTCAGGAAAGGGAAATTACTGGACCTTAGACCCAAACTGTGAGAAAATGTTTGACAATGGGAATTTCCGCCGCAAGCGCAAGAGACGCTCCGATCCCAGTGTCTCCGGAGTGGCATCCAGCATTTCCACCTTGGGGACTCTGAAGACTCAGGAAGGCCCCCCCGTTGCTTTAGACCCTGTGAAACCCTGCAGTGACAGTCCTTCCTCAGCCCTGGAGCCGACGGCCTCCCTGAGGGACACCGCAAAGAGTAGCTCTCCGCCTGGGATTGCCTCATCGACCCCAAGCTGCCTCAGTGCCTTCTTCAGTGGCATGAACTCACTGAGCAGTGGCACTCGCCTTGCCGAACGGCAGCCTCGAAGCCACCCCACGGGCCCGCTTAGGGGCAGCAGTTTCAGCCAGGAAGCTCCTTCGGCTGAGCAGCTGCATCGAGCCTCGGGGCCAGCTGGCACCTACTATAGCCCTTTTCATCCTAGCAGCGGAGGCCAGTCAGGACAGTACAACCATTTGTACAACTTCACGGTCAATAGCCTCATCTACACCCGGGAAGGCACTGAAGTATAAGGCCTGTGGCCCTGGCCTAGCAAGACAGCCTGGAGGGCTTCTTCTGCCTTTTTCTCATTTTGAAACGAAGTCTACATCGGACACCTGGAAGGCCCAGGAGTGGAAAAAGTTTTGGAAACTTGCTGTTTGAAAATCATTGTATAGTACAACTTCCAGCTGTTTCTGCATATTGCGAGCATGCCACAAGTTTGACAATTGAGGGTTCTCTGGAAGGGATGATTTAGAAGGATCAGGGTTGAAACTAAATGTATAATAATAGTACATTGCTTGCTGGCCATATTTTTTGTTAGTTTTTGAGCCTTTGTTTACAGGCACGGTGGTGTAAAAGGAGGAGATTTTATGAAGTCCCTTTATCAGTGTAAAAAAAAACCCTGAATGTTTTTTGACGATAATAACTTATTTGAAGCTTGTAGTAGATCCTACAGCGTACCTGCCAGTTGACAACCCACTAAAATCCTGTTGGCCAGTCCTCAGCCAGGCATCAAACTTAAATTTATTGAGTCCCAGTTGCTGATAAACATGGTCTGAGTTCAATCTGTAAGTCACAGGTCTTAGATTAAAAACTATATTGCTGTCATAGTTTATCAGACAGAAGTACTGTGCACTTTTGTGCAAGAGAGCAGTGTAAACCACTTGTCATATGCTGAAGTCATGATTACTAAATACATTTTCATGGAAATAAATTCTATGGAAATTGGTGCACTCAGAATTGACTGTAAAGCCATTCAGTACAGTTGGCTTGGTACCGTATTATTTCAAATGTGGGTGGGGGAAATCAAATATTTGAACCTCTGCTATCTCAGAAACTTTCAGCATAGAGAAAACTTCTTTACCCCAATAAGTCTTTTGTGTTGTGGTGTTTTTTTTTTTTTTTCCTATGTGAAGGCCTATGTTTTTTCAGCAAGCATGGCTTCTGAAAAGAACCACATTCTGAACTGGTCAGCTATATTATATGAGTGTGGAATATCTTCCTGTGAGCACTCATTTCCATGTTACATGTGACTGCCTGGTTGCTAGGATTAAGAACTAATTTTTGTGAAAACATCAGTTTGATAGGGCTTTCTGCCAAAGACATACACTTTTAACCTTCCATTTTTAGCAGAACAAATATCTTGAGTATTTTTTTATATATGTGCTACTTTGTAATAGACCATACTGTAAATTTATTCTTATATATCTTTATTTGTAAATTATGAAATAATACTTATTTATAATGTGTTTTGGAAAGTTTGTATTTTTCTTTGGTAGTATATTAATAAATGTTTCAAGTTGTTACATTTTTAAACATTTTTCAACTTTCCCTGTTGTGTGTTTTTGTTTTTGCAAATAGGATTTGGAGAAACTGCTTGTGTAGATAGAGAGATAGGCAGGCAGGCAGGCAGGCACGCAGATAGTTATAGAATACAGACTTTCTCTTATGGACATTTCATTGAAATGAATGAAAATTACAATTGCACTGCCCCCATCTTTTTATCAACCACTGCATTTTAGCGATCTGCCCTAGATATATGTCTCAAAATATCACTGTTAGCCTTTTTCATTCTGATTGGGCATTTTGTGTGCATGGATTTTTTTCTCCTTGAATTGATGGAAACCTGAGATCTCCAAACACACAAATCTCTGCATCGTATCAAAAGTAGCTTACATTTGTCTGAATTAGTGTCAGTCAGAATTTTAGGAAAAATGAATTCTGGGCTGCAGCAATTTACCTTTTCAGTGTGGGAATTAAGGGTCAAATTACTTCTTCAATTAATTAATTTACAGAAACATTTTTATTTTGAAGATATTCTTCCTTCCTTCCTTGCTAAAAGACATACCAAATATCCTATTTGCACACAAAGATGCTATTTTCAGTAAAGCACAGTAGGATTAGGGTTTTTTTTTAAACTATAGTTTGGCCTTAAATTCTTGGCCAAGGACAAAAATTGTGAATAGTGTTACCTCCAGTGATAGTTTTTTCTGTCATCTCAGCCTAATCTAAGGAACTGATGTATTTGAGATGGGTACGAGCTAGACTGGGGACTCCTAAAGGCGTGCTGAACTACAGCTGTCACTACCCTAGCCAGATAGGTAAGTACAGATAAGGAATTAGGGCAATTAGTTCTTGATATGATGAGGATGTTGTTAACTGATTATTGGAGTTACATTTAAACTGTTCTTGCCACTCCCACCCTTTTAGTGAAAAACCAGTCTGCTCAAATATGTATGTAAAAACATTTGTGCTTGAAGGACATTGGATTGCAACTCAAAAAGTAGCCCATGCAAGGGAAGCTACTTCTTAAATTATGGGCATTTAAACATTCAGTTGATGGACATATTATTTAAATTCAGAAATGCTACACTGTATGTTCCATGTTGCTCTTTGAGCACAAACATTGATGCAGTCTTACGTATCTACCCAGATGATGACCATAGAATTTACACCCAAGAAAAAGCATATAGAGGATTGCAGCCTTACTGTAGCTGATGGTTGCATAAGAACAGCCCCTTTGGATGTAGCAGCATGTAATTCTAACTGGGTGTTTATAGGAGAGGTCAAAGAAGCTCCAGTAATAAATCTACAGAGAATGGTTCCATTAGGGCAGAGGTCCAGAACCCCAAGCAGCCATCCCAGCAGCAGTTCTCCCCGTGAACTCTAGAACCACTCTAGAGTTCCCCCATTTTATGGAGCAGCCTGCTAGGCTAAACAGTTAAAAAGGAGCCAGGGTTCCCTTTAGCACCCGGTGAACTGAAGATAGAGGACAGCAGAAGGAACAGGAGCTGCCTCAGGCCCAGTAAAGCCACTGCCTAAAGATGGAATAAGTCTCTTCTGGCCATTGTTCTATATACATCTGAGCTGGAAGCAGCTGTCATCAGGACGATATCCTGGTATTACAATTTGGAAAAGTATCTAACTTAGCATCCCCAAATCTGGTTGTCTTCAAATCATCTGCAGCCAGGGCAACATATCTGAAGGACACCAGATTGACAGTGGCTGGTCCAGTCTATAACCCTACTTAACAGAACTTAAATAAAGTTGGAAAAGATATCTGCACAAATCCAATGTTGTTTAAAGGCAAAATTGGAAGAGTCTGAGCAACAAATAAATCATTTAATTCCCTCCCAATATTTTGGACCAACTTTTTCCAGCAGGTCAACACCATGCAGTTGTGGACATGTTAGTCTGTGACATCTGGATATGAGGTGACCAGCCTTTGATCTAGATAAAATACAGAGACAATGTTGGTAAGACTTGTTGCCAAAGAAGAAATAACCCATATGAAAATCATGTAAAGAAAACCCCTAATGTATCCTTATAAATGCTTCTCCATTCTTTCACAGTACAGCAAAGAAAGCCATTTATTTACAGCAAATTTCCATGACTACCTAATACACAATCACAGGAAAAATGTTTTCAGTGTGAATGAGGCTGAACAAGTAGGATCCAACAGTTGTTACTGTAGTCATGGCAGTCTCTGTGTAGCGACTGCAATTACAGTTGCCTCTACTCCAATTTTTCTTGAAATGCTTGTGTATTTCATGCTGCAAAGTGGTGGGATCTGCTTGTACAGAAGTTATTCCTGACAGGCTGTCCCAGTGAAGTCTAGGGCCAAACACTTTTAATGCTTCAATTAACAACCATCAGTTTAAAAAAGAGAACAAAACCAAGCATGGGGGAAAATGAATTTTAGTAGGACTAGTAGCACATAGGGAGGCCTGACCTCTCCTTCCCTGCCTGCAATCTTGATGAAAATCCCCCTCTGCCCATGTGGCAATTAACCATCAGACACACACCCCCTCCCAGTTTCCTAAGGTTAATTGCCACACAGGAGGGACAGTTTTGCCAAAATTGTAAAGGGAAGGGAAGGATCAGACTTCCCCATGTGCTGGGTTCTCAGTAAAATTCACCCTGTACTTTCATTACAAAAGGACAGGCATAGTCACTAGTCCACATATTAAAAATATTGGTTGATTAGACCATGTATATCATGAATCAGTGTATGAATTGTTAAACATTAAATGAGGTATGATTTTGCCCACGTGAAGGACTGTGACCTGGATCACTTATTCCTGATAAAATTAATTGAGGTTTGGTGTCTTACTAGTAGGTACAAACGATAAGCCTGAATCATAACTTTGTCAGGTGTCTCAGTTATATTAATTTAAATCAAATTATTGTGTACTGTATCATTTCCTTAAAAACAAAACCAAACCTCAATCACTGTAATTGTTGTTCATTGTGTGTGTATGTATGTGTGTGTGTGTGTGTATGTGTGTGTGCATGTGTGTATGTGTATGTGTGTGTGTGTGTATGTATGTGTATATATATCTGGAAAATCTCCAGTTTTTCAAAGACATCTCATGTCTTTCTCAGAAGTGACCT